GATAGCGTCTGACTATGTAGTTGAGACTGACCTGGAACTCACTATGTAGCCCAGGCTGGTCTTGAACTCACAGCAATCCTCCTGCCTCAGCCTCCCGAGTGCTGGGATTACAGGTGTGCGCCACCATGCCTGGCTCAGCTGTCTTTTAAAAAGGCAGTGTTTTTTACACACACACACACACACACACACACACACACACACACACACAAATATGGAATGGCAGTCAAGAATCGGAACAACTGATATGTATACAATCTAAATGAAAAATCTGAGGGTTCTTACAATGCCCATCTGAACAGCCAAATTGTCAAACTAGCTGAGATAAGTTCTGGGCTCATAAAAACGGAGGGACAATGGTCATTTTTTCCATTATCCCCCAGCCCCCAATATTTTCCGACATACCTAGTCTTTCTGTTAGGATTGAGTGCTACTGCTAGTCCAACAGTGTTTAAAATACTCGGGACCGAAACTGTGCCCTGAAGAAGAAGAGTGAAGTAGCGCAGAGGATCGGGCAGAGTAAAGCATACTATATACACCTGCCACTTCCCCTCGCCCTCACATTGCACAATCTTTTGCTAGTCATGAAAGATTTCTCAAAAGCTTTTGTTTTGCTTTTCAGTAAAGTTAAGGGGAATGTAATTTACTCTTTAACATCAGTATCACACAAATTAAATGACACTTTATAACAGTCTGAAAATAAACTATGCACCTTACACTTAAAATACTTTCTCTTATTTCTACGCTGGAACCAGTATACAATTTACGTTTTTCTCATACTGAGAAGATGCTCTAAACTGAGTAACCAAAGGTTACGGGGTTCACTCTTCATTTGTGCCAGAATTATTTACTCCTCCTAATTACGTGCCAGGCTCTGGGGCTGAGGGAGCAAAGGAGACGATGGCTAACGTTCACAGGAAACAACAAAACACACCTTTTTTTTTAACAGAAACACCTTAACATCTTTGAAAGGAAAACTCATCCCAAAGACACACAAGGCAAGCCTCCCCGCACCTCCTCACCCTCAGTCCAGTCCTCACATGGGACTGAGGCCTCCAGTGCGCTCCCACACCTTCCTCATGCACACATACAGGAAGGACAGGAACGACAGGAACGTGTACTTTAACAGCCTTTAACTCTGAATTTGAAAATCACAACAGCCCGTGTGGGCGAACTTTCCGAATCTCAGACCCTGCGCGTGCCCTGTTGAGGTTGCAGAGGGCTTCACAGCACAGCGGCACCTCCCTGACAGCCGCCCCGGGGAGGCTTCCAATCTTCCGGGCCGCAAGCGGAGCCACAGTAACAGGGCCTGGGACACCGGACACAGTCCCACAATGCACACTGGGACAAGAGCTCGGTGCCCATTTCTTGGGCACGTCCACCACCTCCTGGACAGAATCGCTGCCGTCCCCCGAGTCTTCATTCATATGGTGGATTCACAGATTAGCTCATGGAGCGAAGTACATGACGCTCCTTGTTCATGTTTTCCCAAATTCATCTGTAAAATCCGTTGGTTTATTAAGTTTAAAAACACAGGAATTTTCATATTTGACTCTCACCAGCACAGGAAATACAGTACTGAGACAGCAACTACTTTTCTTTCCAATATCTCTTGCGGTCTAAAAATCAAACATACTCCCTATTCTAGGTTTTTCTAAAAATTCACATTCAATATTTTCTAATTAGATATGCAATCAAAAGAGCCTTTCACTTTCAAATATTTTCCTGAAAATTTATGCTTGCATAAAAATAAATTCATGTTACTTCTGTATTTTCCTTAAAAGCTATAATTTCAAGTGTGCTTTAATCTTTTTGACTACCATTTTTACTAGGCAACGTCATCTAAAACATCTTTACTTCCATTCTTGCCCTAAAAAGTAATTAGAAAATGAACACAGAAGTCTGCTGGACTTCCTAGTTCAAAAAAATCCTTAAAGCGTTTCCAGTTTCAGTTTGATTATAGCTGGTTTATAAGTAAACATATAAATGATCATTTTTATTCCTCAATAAGGACAAACAGGACGTACACAATCTATTCTGCATTTCAGTAATTCAGAAATCAGTTATGAGGTCATCATAATATTCTAAGATGAAGTAAATAAACTAGCTGCTGACTCCAAAATACATTTTTAAAAACTGCTGCATATTCTACACTCCCAGTCAACAGAGAGGATGAAAACCTTTCTTCAACTTTCATGTAAGCAGCTTTAAACATGAGTCAGGAGAATACCCACAACAACACATTAACAGCAAAAGGCAAGAACTACCAATGAAAGAGAAGACAAAACAAAACAAGAAACACATCACAAGTAGCACCTTGGGTAAAAGCTTCTTAGCTTAGGACAATTTAGAAGGAAACAATCTGATAGATAATGGTTCCTGACAAAAATCACTTTATTTTAATTCTGTAAAATGACTGATGTTCACTATGACAACATTAAGCCACTAAAAAAACAAATTCTGAAATGTATTCAGTTTGAGAAAACAGATGTGAATTTTATTTTAGAAAAACATTCATATAAAACAAAATAGACACATAAAAGATTAAGATTCAATTACCCAGAAAAGTAACAGAGGACAAGTGTACCATTTAATACCCGTCAGTGAAGAAATACCCAAAGTAAAAATTCTCACTCAAAGTTAGCATGTACTGATGCAGCTGCTCTGGAAGGTGAACTGGACGCGGTGCACTACCATTCTGGGGCTGCAAAGATACAACTCCCTGTGCTAGGGCAGTTCTTATGTAACAGCCCAAAGAATACCTGGTAATTTCTGAAGCTCTTCAGGCGAGCCTCCAGCGAAGTGACTGAACACTTGGGAAACGTCCTCATTTCACTTTATTTACTCTGAATCGCGACTGCCAACTCAACAGGCTGCTGTCCTCCCTCAGGTCCCTCAACCTCTAGCGTTAGTTTCGCCATCAGCGAAGGGCAGGGCTTGTCGGGAGTGTGACGCGCTGGTGAGTGGAGCAAGTGTGCCCATGAGAGGGCACGGCCACTCCACCAGGCCCCTGCCGACTCGGGTCTACCTGTGTGGAGTCTGAATCGCTTCCCATCACAGTTACTTCCCCACATAAAGTCCACGGTACTAAGAGAAATTATAATCATTTCAGGGTCCTTTCCAGCATTCAATATTAGGTACTGTCAAGATACTGTATAACAAATTAATTATGTAGTCATTTAAATTTACTTAAAATACCACTGTATCCAATCATCTTGTGCTACTTAATATTTTCCAACCTGAAAACAAACAACAGCATTTGACAGATTTAAAACAAGGTCTGTAACCAGGATATTTTTTAAAGAATATTCAGAGCAACACCATTTTGCCAAACAGACACATAGCCCGATGATCCACCCACCGTGGAATGACCGTGTGACTTGGAAACGTAGCACTGAAGAAGAAAATGCACAAAATTCCATAAAGAGGAACAAGAGGCAAGATGGAAACATATGGCTCAGGAGCACAGATGAATGTGGTAAAATTATACGTTATCACCACAGAAGGAAGAATATTGGTTATACTAAAGCAATGGGAGACTAGAACTTCTGAGATGCCCAGCATACTCTGAACGTTTACCACACCATTATCACATAATTACGCATTACATTACATGTTTCTATATAATGTTGTATTTTACAATAAGTACATTTTCTGAATTGATATGCTCTTACCCAGCAGATAAAGTTCTTCTCTTTTTGCTAATTTTATCTTCTTGCTCTGTAATATTTTAATAACAAAGAAATAAGTTACTGTGATTAATTCTCCAAATTTTAATTAAGAGTGGATTGCATATGACTGGGTATGGTGGTACACAGTTAATCTCAGGTACTCCTGAGGCCAGCCTGGGCAACTTGGTAAGACTGTCTCAAAATTAAAAGAAAAAAGCAAAAAGGTAGCAGCGGTAGAACACTTGCCTACCATGCACGAGGCCCTGGGTTCAATTCCTAGCACTGCAAACAAAGGGGAAAGAACTCTGACCACCACCACCAAAACCAGACAACTACCGTGCTTAATGTCAGCTTATTCACTCAACGTTATATCTATAAATTTTTCTTTTTTTCAAAGGAATGTATGTTTATGTATAATGAATTCTAAATTATATCCCAATAATAATGTTTTAGAGTCTGCTAGTTTAGCCTGAGGGTAGGAAGAAGCACACTTTTAGCTCTCATACTTTAAAAAATTAATCCTGGTCGCACTCGTGTACATACACAACATGAGAATCCGTGACAGGTCAGGCGCTGCACACCCAGTGTCACTCTGGGTCCGGGTCTGGTTCACTGTATGTGCTAGAAAACACGGTCACTGGACTATGGGGTGGACATAGATCGAGTTAAAGTCCACTGTATAAAATGTGATATGGGTTAATTCACTGAAAACAGATGCAACATGACTAATTTAAATTTTACCCAAGCAGTTTTAAATATTTCCTTTGGAAAGACAGAGCCACAGGGAGTAAAATTAGTACAAAAATGTCACCATTATACTAGTAAACTGAGTTCACTACCAGGCCATACACAGAATGAGGGAATCCCAAAAGGCCCACCACCTCCTAGTCCCTTCCATGTGCGTCTGCTGTATCTTTTGTGTGTGGGGAGGGGTGCTGGGGATCTCAGGGCCTCACATGTGCTAAGCACGTGCTCTACCACTGAGTTACATCCCAGCCCCAGACCGTAACCCTCCTACGTGTCACCAAATTGGAAGAGACAATAAAGCCTGGAACAAAACCATCAGGACCACCAGCACTCTCAAGGCCTTTTCACTACCAACATGATGGCCATACAGTACCATTACCAGAGCGGGGTTTCTCCTGCTAGACCCTGCTCTTCTGTGCATGCAGCCAAGGGCTCCTCTGCTTAGTGGGTCAAGCTAACCAGTTCTTTGCTGATCCACCAAGTACCAATCCTAGAAAATGACAATGTGTCCAGCAGGGAGCAGCAGCATAACAGCCCAGAGTCCTAACTTGAGCCTGGAGGAAAAGGACAGAAAAGCTCACTTACCATTGGTCTGTTCCACAATAAATTCAATATTCAGGGTGGGCGCAGGGCTTCCAGAAAGAAATCTAAAGCACACATGGGTAATCCATGGCGTCAGAACCTAGGGCAGGAAATCAAAGTTACATCAGGTAGACTTCTCTGGCCCAAGTTGAGCAACATTAATATCCACTAAGGGAATGTTTCTGAGTTGGCTGCTAAGACAAATATTCCACCCAGCGGGTCAGCAGGATTCTGAACTTGCATATTCAATGACACTATATCAAAACAAAAAAGGGGGAAAACACAGGAATTTTAAAGCCCTTCGTAGACAAAGAATGTAGAAGAAAGTGGGTGACATAGCAGATAATGAGATCTCAATCCACCTAGAAAGAACATGTGGTCAAAGAATCAAAGGAGGTGATAAAGCAACCATATACACTTCTGAAATAGATCAGTCTCTTATAGACTTGACAACTTTTCAAGCAATAGAGAGGGTGTAAATATTCACTTCTAGAGGATGGGGATGTAGCTCAGTGCCACTGCACCTGCCTCTCAGGCGCAAGGTCCAGAGTTCAATCCCCGGTACCTAAATAAATAAATACCACTTCTACAGGTCAGCATGAATATCAAGTTACTTTTAGGAATGAAAAAGTAGTGGAGAAGTAGTTTCTATTGGTGGTGTGCAAGGATGATTAGATATTTACCAAATATGAAGACTGCACAAGATATTGTAGAAAAATCTCATGAGGTTACAATACAACAGCAAAACACTGTTACTAGCTGGAATGTCAACATCTGCCTCATACTCAACTATAATACTTCTATATCACTTATGACTACAGAAAGAAATGTTCATCTCTTCTATTTAAAATATTAAGCAGTTTGCTTTGTGTGCTTAGATGTGATGTTTCAGTGACCACATCAAAATCTAAAATTCTAAAACAAAAAATAACCAAATTTCTGCATTCAAAAGAAGGTATCATGAATATTCACCTTTATATCTACACATAACTGCTGAACTCTTACATAACGTATATTATGTGATAATATATTACACATTTATCTGAAATTTAATGAATAAAACGTAATTTGATTCGTACAATTTTCTCCCAGCAAAGTGACACAAGCAGCTTGCTGAGCTAGTACATGGACACTAGAGTGACTGACGGTTATCACTGATCTGAGGCTCAAGCCAACCACAATGCTTTGCTCTCCCTTCCAACAGGAAGCTATTCACCTGCTCCTTTTCACGTTCTTCTTTCCTTAGAGCCTTCCTCTTACCCTACCTCTGGTCTTAGTGTTTGTAAATTTCACTTTTCTGATACTTCCTGCTTTCTACAAATCTTATTCTCTCTCTTTGGTAATGCATTTCTACTTCAACTCCAGTATCTGTTTTACTCATGCCCTCCCTTTTTAATCCTACTGCTCTCCTTTATGTTTCCCCTTTACTTAAAAGTGAGCTTTCTCCCTTAACAACCCACTTAAATATACCCTTTCATCTGTCCACAGGTACTGTGCTTCAGCTCAACAACCTCACCTGGCTGGGAGACTCCACTAAATACATTTCATACTGCTTCTATTCATAAAAATATATCTGAGTTTTTTCAATATTTGAAAATGTAACTAAACATTTTAGAATTGCTCTTGAACCACTAAAAAAACTCAGACATGTAATTTGACTCATTCTAATCAAATGGAGACTACCTCTGTTAATAAGGAGATTTCAGATCTTACTATGCTGATGTGAAAAAATGCTGAGGAACTTCAGGGCACAGAACATTATCATGTGCACAGAGCACCTGCCTGAACAGAATTATTGCCACTCCTCCGTACTTCCCACATATACCATCAAGTCTGACAAAAGTGATTTCCCAACTCAGCACAAATATACATACTAACACTAAGTGAAATAATCTCATAAAAATAATCACTCATAAGCTTTGAAATTTTTAAAGTTTACAGATTATACAACATATTTATATGAACAATATGATTACCTAAAAATTGGACTGCAGTGGGTTGCATCCTGCCCTCTCCATATAACTCCATACCCATCTGGAACCTTAGCACGTGGTGATACTGCAATGGTCTTTGGAGATGGAATTAACACAGTCTCGAAGGCCATGATTCATACATTTCCCTGCCAGAAGGCCTGAACCACCAGTGGTACATGCATGACTGTCCCATCAGGTGGCTTTTTATTAATTTTACTGGTAAGATTGTATTCACAGATCTATTTGTACCACCAGTGGTACAGTTGTGCATACACGCTGGTGGCTCAGGCTGGTGGGAATGTGTTGAGAGAAGGCCCTGCACAAACTCATCCAGTATTAGAGAGGGCCTAAATCCAATGAGAATGTCCTTGCCTGCGACAGAAAGGACACAAAAGAATTCAGCAAAGAGGCCAACGTGAAAATGGAGGCACATTTTGGAGGTCTGCTGCTAAGAGGGATGCAGCGATCAGAAATTGGAAGAGAAAGGAATGGTTCTTCCCTAGAGTCTCAGGTCTGAACGTGGCCCTGCTGACATCATGATCTCAGATTTCTGACCCCAAAACTAAGAAAAATAAAGTTGTCTTGTATCAATCAAGGCAGTCTGTGGTACTGTGCATGGCAGTCTTAAGAAATGAAAAGAGACTTTGGTAACAGGAAGTGGGTGTTGCTCTGCCACCTGTATCAGAAAAGTCCTTCAAAACCCTAACAAGAGTATTGACAGAAATAGAGATGTCCAGCCAATGCTGAGGGCTTGGAAAGAAGTGAAGAGCAACACAAAAGAAACCCTATTGCCTTAGAGATTACACTGTCATGAACAGAATGATGGAAGAAACAGAAACATTCAAGTGCTGATGGTGAGGTCGCAAGTGTAAGAGGAGAAACAATCTTGGTTATAGGGTGACACAGAACCCGGATCGAGTGTGCTCTACTGTGAGGAGGAACAAACAACTGGCATGCAAGGAACCTGGATATGTAGCTGAGGAAGTTTCCAAGGAAAGTGTTATAAACCCGGCCTGATCTCCTCTTGCTGCTTACAGTAAAATGTGAGACAAAAGAAATGAACTGAGTTAGCAAAAAGTAATCAGCATCTTACAATTTTGAAAATTCTCAGACTATGCAGGTCCTAACAGATGCTAAGGCATACCCTGGAGAATGGACAAGGGCGTGGGGGGCCGGGCTATTCCTAAGAGGCTAGTCTGGCACGGTGGTGCATGCCTGCAATCCCAGCATGGGAGAATGAGGCAGGAGGTTCAAGAATTCAAGAACTCCTTGGCTTACATAGGAAGTTCAAGGCCACCCTGTAGTACATAACAAGACCTTGCCTCAAAAAAACAGAAAGAGGAGGAGGAGGAAGAGAAGCAGAAAGGAAGAAGAAAGAGAGTAGGCATGGGAGGAAAAGGATAGGGAGAAGGAAGACAGGGAATGGGAAAGAGATGAAGTATGTGATTCATAGGCTCATCAGTCATCTCGGCAGAAGCCAAGGGCTCACAGAAGTCGCACACAAAGGGCCCATAGATAACCCCATGTTCTAATTGCTCATATCCTCATGATATACCTGGGAGACACCGGGGCTTTGAGAATGCTGTACCAGCAGAAATAGGGCCATCTTGTACTAAAGGACACAGGGGCTGGGTTAAATGAAAGGGTGCTGAAATGTGATATTAATTGGAAGTAAAGTCTTTGTAGATATAGTTGAGGATCATCATGAAACTCTACCAGGCTGGTTGTGTCCTGAATCTGATGAGAACAGAGGAGGGCACACAGAGTCACAAAGAGGAGAGCGGTATGAGCATGGAGCACAGTGAGACAGAGGAAGGCACCCCACCACCTAAGGGTGCCCAGGAGACATGAGAGAGGCACGCAGCAGTCTCTCCTGCAAAGGCCGAGGAAGACATGGGAAAGTCTCTCCTGCAGAGCTTCCAGAAAGAATAAACTACTGACACCTTAATTCGAGACTTCTGATTTCCACAACTGCAGGAAAAACACTGTTGTTTTAAGCCACCATATTTGTGGTGACTCTATTATGACAGCAACCCCAGAAAACCCATACTGTGCACAGACTGAACTTCATTCATCATCATTTCTGGAATCAAACGAAATTACAGCTGTAAGATGTAAGACAGGGAAAGACTGCACAACTGTGCGCATAAACTGCATTCATGAAAAATGTCTGCACACCTCCCAACAAAGTAAAGCCCTGTATCAGTTACTTCACTGGAGAATTCTGCCAAACAAATAGAAAAGAATCCCCACCAGTTCTTCTCAATGTTTCCCAAAGCATTCAAGAGGCAGGAACACGTAATCTAACTCACTCTATGAGGCCTGCATCTGATACTAAAGCTAACAAGAAAACTACAAACCAACATCGCTTGTGACTATGGCTGCAAAATACTAGCAAACCAGATTCAGCAGCATATTAAAAGGATTATACATCATAACCAAGCAGGACCTATTCAACATATGAAAGTCAATCCATACGCATTTCGTATGAATGAAAAATCCCAGTCATCTCAATAGATGCAGAAGAGGCACTTGACAAAATTCAATTCATTTGACTCCTCGGGTCAAGGTATCTTTCATGAAAAAAAAGTCACTCAACAATCTAAGAATAAAATGAAACTTGCTCAAGTATAATTAGCAATATATGAAAACCCCACCGCTAGTACGCACTCTACGGTAAAAATCTGAAAACTTTTCCAAGATGAACAACAAGACAAAGATGCCCACTTTTGCTTGTTCTACTCAACATAACACTGAACATTCTAGCCAGAGCAATTAGGCAAGAAAAGGAAATAAAAGGCATCCAAATTGGAAAGAAAAAAGTACAATTATCTCTGATCACAAATCTTATATATAGAAAACCCTAAAGAAAAATTTCTTCCTGTTTATTAATTTTCCAGATAACCCATGTTTTTAGAGGAGTATTTAGAACATGAGTCATTTAAAATATGTAACAGTGTGCTATTCAAAATTAGCTGTAAATAAGTATATGCTAAGCAAATTGAGTAATACCATCTCTGTAAAGCTGTTCACATGAATAATAAATACTGATAAGAAGAAAAAAAAGAAAACCTAAAGAAACACAAAACTATTACAACAGTTAATACAACCAGTCAGCAGGACATAAAGTCAATACACATAAACACAGCTATGTTTCTATACACCAACAATGAACAATCTAAAAAGGAAGTTAAAAAACAAAGACTTTTATTTTAAGCATTAACCAATGAAACACAGTCATAAAGGAAAAACAAAAGTGAAAGACTAGTACATTGAAAACTACAAAATATTGCAGAAAGAAGTTTTTTTTGGTACCGGGGATCAAACTTGGGACCTTGGGTTTGCGAGGCAGATGGTGGACCCACTGAGCTAAATCCCTGGTTCTGAAAGAAGTTTTAAAAGATGTAAACAGAAAGGGATCTTCCTCAAAAACCAAAGACTTAACATTCTTAAGGTGATAACACTTCCCAAACGTGACAGAGAAGTTCAATGCAGTGTCTATCAAATCCCAAAGATTTTTTTTTTCAAAATAGAAAAAAGGATTGTAAAATTCAACAGAATTGTCAAGGAACCCTGAATACTCAAAATACTCTTAAGGAAGTTGGCACATCCATACTTCTTGATTTTAAAATTCAGTACAGTTGTAGTTAATAAGACAATGTGATACTGTCGCAACGACAAACAGAACAGAATAAACACCCTAGAAATAAATCTTCACGTAACGGTAAAATGATATTTAACAAGGGTGCCAGGACTACTCACGGGGGAAAGGACAGTCTTTCTAACAATGCTGTTGGGAAAAGTAGCTATCAGCACGCAAAAGAACAAAGCTGTACCCTTATCTTACACTGTATATAAACATTTACTCAAAACAGTTCAAAAAGCTAAATGTAAAAGCTAAAAATGAGGAAAAAACATAGGGCAAAGGTTCAGTGATGTGGCATTTGGTAAGGACTTCTTGGATCTGACAAACAAAAGAGAACAACAGTTTAGATGTCATCAAAATGAAAATCTTACAAAAGCGACAACTCGAGCAGATACACACACACCAATGTTCACTGTGACATTATTCTCAACAGCCAATGGGTAGAAACGTGCACGTCTGTCACCTGATAAGTGGGTAAACAAAACATGGTGTATACATGCAGAGTATGACTCACCCATAAACGAGGGCCATCACTGATACATAATACAAGATTAATGAACTTGGAAAACCATTACCCTAAGTGAGAAACGCTGCACATGTAATAAAAGAACAAATGTACACGAGGAACCCACCTTTAAAGAACAAAGTCACCAGGACACGGAATACAACACAGCAAAGGCAGCCTGGGCCAAGGCAAGGGGAGGAGGAGGACTTACTGCATACTGGGTGCAACGCTTCCGGAAACTGTGGTGATGACCACACCACTGCACACTCAACAGTCACTAAACTGGGGACTTGTAGTGCTTTTTGTCAAGGCAGCTCAGACACAAACAGGTCTGTCAGGGAAGCTGAAGCAGGCTCTCTGGACGAGCTGTGCATGACACAGCCCAGCGCTCCCTGGGGCGGGTGCTCAACTCAGGACAGAGCCTTGTCAGTTCTCTGTGCGTAGATCCAACCAACATTAACGGAAAAGGAAACGTGATGTGCTTCTTTAAATTTAATCTCAGAATATAAAATGTACTATAAAATTCTCCTCAAGGGCTGGAGGTGTCGCCCAGTGACAGAGCACTTGCCTAACACTTGTGAGGCCCTAGGTTTGATTGTAGCACCGCAATAAAAAAAAAGTAAAACAAAATAAATTTATTTTCAACTCTTCCATTTTCACGCTGGGGAATAAAAACATCAACAGTAAACAATATAAAAATTAAAATTCTGAGGGTTTTTAAAGAGTATATTTTTACATTATGAAGGACCTTGCTTTAGTGCTGGACAACCCTAGCAGAAAGGTTGTTAATCTGCAGTGAACTTGACATTTCTATGCCCTGGAGAAGCAGAGAATTCTCATTTCTCTCCTACGATTACGTCAGGTCACCTCAGGGTCACTCGCGTTTGGGCTCAGTGGGTCCCGCTCACCGTCCCAGGTGCTTTCCGGTCGCATTTTCTCAGCACGGCAAGCGCTGAGAATCCACCCCTGCTGAAAGAAGACAAGCATGTCCTACTTTATGCTAATATTCACAAACCGCTAAGTAAAGGCTCGGCGGGAGGCGGTACGAAGGTTCACTTCGGGCGTGGGGAGAAGCAGTGAGACGGACAGGGACAGTCCTGTGAGTGCCGCTCCTACACTCAGCACCCGCAGTGGCTCGTGCCTCCCGCGGTCACCCCCGCGAGCGGGTGAGAATCTGACAGCACACGCACGGCGCTAACCACTGCCTGGACCACACTCGGCGGTCGGCGTGCAGACCAGCCACCTCTCTCCCCTCCACGTCTTACTCTCCCCGGCCCTGAAGGGCTCTGGCTGCAAGTGACAAACTGTCCTTACCACAAGCCCTTCACAAACTACACCGAAACAACAGCACATTTAAAAACTAACCCGGCAGCATGACCAGCACACACACGCTGGAGACGGCAGGCAGCTGGAAAGCAGCGTACAGGATCAGTCACAGCGATGGGAGCGCAGAGCACAGAGCACGCGGGGCGCCTGGGCAATCTTCCAGCCACCATTTACTCCTTCGTGGCAAGTTAAAACGTGTCTTAGTTTTATACCTTTCAATGGTTGGAAAAAATATTAGCTCTGACAGGTGAAAAATGTGTGAACAATCCCAAAGCTGGTACCCGTAAATGCAGTGTTACACAACGTAGCCAAGCTCATTTCTTGGTGCTGTCCAGGCTGCTTTCCCAAGGCAGAGAAAGCAGTTGCAAAACAGAGCTTACTGCCGGCCAAGCCTCAAATACATACGCTCTGGTCCCAGAAAAAGGCTGCCCGGCCCTCACCAAGCCCAAAGCCATGCTCACGCGGTGGGGAAAATAGAACGTTTCTTTCTGTGGCTCCGAATCCTGGTCTGACTGAGGCGTCACGGAGGACAAGCCTCTCAGAGAGGCCAGGATGGGGTTCTCCTTATTCCGATACGAGAGAAGGACTCAGCCCATCTCCTTGCTCGCTCACATATCCAGGTGGAAGCAAAGCACACTGATAAACTAGTTCTGCGGACTTACACAAAGTCTGTCAGTCCTCTTTCCATTTAGGGTACAGATGTGCCAGGAAAACAAAGGAGAGAAGTCTAGTCCAGCTTCCCCGTGACACTCAACAGGCCATTCACCTACCAACATGAACCGACAACCCAGGGTCTCCAACAGTGAAGGAAAACACAAGCTTAAAAAAGAACGCTGAGGCCGGGGATTTAGCTCATTGGTTCTGGCGAATGCCTCACAAGTGCAAGGACTTGAGTTCGATCCCTGGTACCAAAAAAAAAGAAAAAAGAACACTGAGGAAAACAATCAACCACCAAAGGCAACCCTCAAGAAATGACAGGTAATTCTGGGAAGGGGTGCGGACATAGAAAATAATTCCATTAAATACCTTCTTAGGTTTAGGAAAGATGAAGCATCTAAAAAACCATGTGGAAGTAGAGAACACAACAGAGTTTAAAATTTGTAACAAATGCTTGTCTGCAATCCCCCCACCACACATACACATACAAAAGTTCAAAAAGCTGGAACAACTGAAGAAACAGAGCAACAGCCCACAGGGGTAAAAATCTCTGCAAAGAAGCTACAGAAAAGGTGAGAACTCTCTCCTTTCCAAACTCCACCCCCCCAACCCAATGCCCACGCAAAGGGAGAGAGACCCGCCCAGAGCAGCAGGGGCCTAGGCTCCAACCCAGCAAGCTCTGTTTAGTAGACCTGGTCTTACTGGACAATCATGCTTATTTCTGTGCATTTTTTCTCTGACTGCTTTGTGCTAGAAAGCAGGTGAGTAACTGACCAATATGGAACACAGAGCCTGAAATATTTATTATTTGATCTTCTATAGAAAAAAATTTGCCAAAAACATTTTAAAATATAGTACTAGAGACTGAACCCAGGGCTTTTGCATTCAGCTATAGTCACAGCGTTTCTCACTACTTTTGAGACAGGATCTCACTAAGGTCTTAAACTGCCCAGGCTGAGCCGGAACTTCCGATCCCTCTGCCTCAGCCTCTCAGAGTGCTGAGATTACAGGCCTGTGCCACCATGCCTGACTAAAGTAGAATTTTTAAAAAATTATATTTCAAAATTATGACTCAAAAAAAGAAAAAAATCAAAGACAGACTTAAAATGAGAAGCTAAATATCACTGCAAATAGGGAAGAGATTATAAAAGATTCCAATGTTGAGAATACAATTAATATGATCAAATTTGAAAATGCTAATTTAAAAGTTACCATTTTTTTTTCTTTTTTGGTACCGGGGATTGAACTTGGGACCTTGTGCTTTCGAGGCAGGTGGCGGCACCACTGAGCTAAATCCCTGGCCCAAAAGTTACCATTCCTAAGAAAACACAAATCAGTTAGACTATAGACGAGTCATGAGTAATTTTTTTAAAATTGTGCCACAGATGATTCCAATTTAGTTCTGTTATTTCTTAAAGACACATTTACTTGAAAAATCTTCTTGAACTGAAATATGTCCAATGTTTGATATTTACCTTATTACACTAATCATTCCATGGTATAAGTACACAATGGTTTTAGGTTTTTTTTTTTTTGGTCCCGGGGATTGAACTCAGGTTCTTGCGCTTGCAAGGCAGGCCACCAAACTGCTGCGCTAAATCCCCAGCCCAGGTTTTAGGTTTCAAGACCCACAAATTTCTCTTTATATTTTAGAACCCATTAAAATTAGAATTCATGTAAGCATTCATTTTCCTGAGGCAGTTCTGGCTGCCCCTAAATATAATTCAGAATTTTAGCATTCTCATAAGTATACTGAATAAGCCATTATGACAGGAAATCATAACGGAAATTAGAAAATATGAATAATGACGAAAGAGACTATTAAAAGTGCTTAGAGAAAATCACATCTCAACTACAGTCTATTAGAAAAGAAGGTGGGAAATAAATGAATTAAGCTTTTACTGAAAAGAGGGAATAGCCAAGAACTCAACAAATGAAAACCAAGGAATGTGGAAGGAAAGAAATAATAAAGATAGAAGCGGCAATTAATGAAATAGAAAGTAAATATAAAGCTGAAGACAAACAACCTCACCAAGTTCATTTTTAAAAAAAACTAATGGAAATGAAAAATCCCAGCCACCTGCCTCACAAGCACAAGGACCTAAGTTCGATCCCCAGTACCAAAAAAAAAAAAAAAAAAAAAAAAAAAGAAAAAAACCAAA